CAAAAACCATATAAAGACATATTTCTCATAAAGATTCAACAAAGATGAAGTGCTGAAAATATATCTCGAAGGAAACGATATTATTATTATAATTGAAATGATATTTAAAAAAATATTTTTGGTCATAATTAAAATATAAATTTAAGTAAAAAGATTAAGTGTTCCTTCCTCTTCATTTTTTCCAAATATTTTCAATGAAATATATGAGCCTGATTCGTGGCCAAATGTCAATTAGCCCTCCCAGGTGGTCTCGAACAACCAACCTTTCGGTTAATAGCCGAATGCCGTAGCCATTGTGCCACGGTGGTGTGAGGGGTGGCGGATGCAGACAAGAAAGTATATATACAGGGTGATTATAATTATAGTCCCACTTTCAAAATGCTGAGAAAATAGAACTACTCGTCACAATGAGTTCAAATTTGAACTGAAGATACTTGAAGAAGGGGGAAAAGGTACGGCATCAAAATAAAAAGTTCCACCGAAATGACCTTGCCGTGGTGGATGCGCTTTCCACTAACAGTGTCACAACTGTTGAATGAATGGAAGTCATTTATTCCGTCAGAAAACCGAAGCAATCAAGCACATTCAACAGTACAGTGGGTTTAATGTGCAACTCATGCCAAATACGCTGCAATTGATTCAAAATATCACTGCAAGCCGAATTCACTTTCAGTATGCCGCTTACAGCGCCATCTATAATGCATTTTGGAACATTATTTTGATGCTGTGCCGTTTCCCTTTTCTTCAAGTATTTTCAGTTCAAATTTGAGCTTATTGTGACGAATGGTTCTTTTTTACAGCATTTTGTAAGTGTGACTTTAATTATATCGTTTAAATTTTTATTTCGAATAATGTAATATAATTGATAATTTCAACATTCTTTAACAAACGGTAAATATGTAGAAATAAATAGGTTTCATTAACAATTAACATTAAGTGGTAAACCATACTAGACGTAAATTTTACGTCATTTAACTTAAATATCCATCTCGCAAATATTTTGCACTTTGAAATCACAAACTAAAATATAATTAGTATTAACTAAACGCATGAGTGTTGAAGTTCAATAAATTAAAAAAATAACTGATCCTAGGAAACCAAATTCGAATACAAATGGAATAATTTGGAAGCATAATTGACACTTACCTTTTATCCACTGAGCAATTAGCCCAAGTTTTCCGAATGAAATGACAGCAAGTGATAAATAACTCTCACCTCTAAATGCCCTCTTTAAGCACTGTTAAGAAATTTATGGACAGTTTCAAGTTTCTTTTAAAGTTTTTGATTTATACAAAACTCTAATGTCCGAAACGTGCCTCGAAGCCTTTTCTATCGATCGCTTAGAATATGCGACCGAGAACAATTAAAGCATTGAAAAATGGAGGTGCCCTCCTTTCACTGAAGCTAAAACACATCCAATACCTGCAATTGAATAGAATGCTAACGACTGCCTGCAATGCTTAAATGCAATTATTTTTGCTAAAGAAGGAATAATATAAACTGCGAAATTATGCTGAATGAAATCTTTAATCAAAAAAGAAAATGGGAAGACGCAATAAAATGGATTTATTTATTTATGTAATTAGAGAGATTCGATTTTGACTTTGTGGCAGTGCCTGAAGCCAGTGTGTGAGTAAACTGTTCGATTTGAGCAAGATATATAATTAATAAAATCCTCCTTAAAAAAGAAATTGTCTTGATAGCAATATGATAATGTCTTGTAGTATTGGTTTGGATTGTCTTGTAATATTTTTATGAATTTCTTTCTGTGTAATACATAATTTTTAAAACGAAATATATTTTGCTGTCGTATCTGATAATTAGTGTCCTGCAGTGCGGAACGGACATCCCATGAATAATCTACTCAGGAAAGTAGGGAAAAGATGCAGTTTCTTTTGGGACCCATAGGTAGAAGTCTGACATGGCTCCGTGACGCAGAAGAAACAGGAAAGTGCATTTAGGAAAGGGAGGACTTTTAAGGAGAACTATCCCACATTTGCGTATCGTAGGGCAGAAAATCTGTAAAACTCCCACCAGGTAGTCCGACTCACGAGGCAAGATGCTAAACATCCCAAACACCATCGAGTTTTCTCTTTTTTTGAAAAAGTGTCTACTTTTTTTTGAAAAGTGTCTTTGAACAATGCCGCTAGCGGATTGAACCTCTGTCCTAAAACTCATCAGCGGCACACATTGCCACTGAGCTACGAGTCGGGCATTTAAAAATTTTAAGTGAAATATATGTACTAACTAACGAAAGACATAGAGTTAGGTTCACAGCAATATCGCTTAAGTGTTTATTTCAAATAATGTAATATAATTGATTATTTCAACGCTCTTTAACAAAAGGTAAATGATTAGCAAATAAATCGGTTTTCATTAACACTTCCATAACATTATTTTCATTAACATAAGTCATACTAGACATAAGTGATGAATCCAAATTTCCCGTCATTCAATTTAAATATCCAATCTGCAAACATTTTGCACTTTGAAATTACAAACTAAAATAATGCAAGAAGCATACAACCAAATGCCTGCGTGTTGAAGTTCAATAAATTTTAAAAATAATTAAACCTAGGAATCCACATTCGAATACAAATGGAATAATTTGGAAGCATAATTGTATACTTACCTTTTATCCACCGAGCAATTAGCCGCAGTTTTCCGAATTAAAAGACCGCAAGAGATAAACAACTTTCACCTCTAAATGCCCTCTTAAACACAATAATTTATGGATGGTTTCAAGTTTCTTTTTAAGGTTTCGGATTTATACAGAACTCTAATGACTGAAACGTGCCCGAAGCCTTTTCTATCTATCCTTTAGAACAAGCGACCGAGAACAATTAACGCATTGAAAAATGAAGCTGAATTTTCGCTGAAGCTTAAACACATCCAATACCTGAATTTGAATAGAATGGCAAACGACAGTCTGCAAAGCTCAAATGGAATTAGTTTTGTAAAAGAAGCGAAATTATGGAATAAAGTCTTTAATGTAAAAAGATAATGGGAAGACGCAATAAAAGTGGATTTATTTGTTTTTGTAATTAGAAAGATTCGATTTTGTCTTCGTGGTAGTGTCTGAAGTCAAGGAGTGGGCAAGGTAAATCTACAGCTAGATCTACAGACATCTACAGATGGACCTTTGTTAGGATGGAGCAAGTCTGACTAGGGCAATGACTTCCGCGAGGACCTTTCGGGGCATATCGTAACGGCGAAAACCTGAAAACTCCCATCATTTAGTCCGACTCACGAGGCAAGATGCTGAATATCCCAAACGCCATTCGAGTCTCCATTTTTTTTTTTTTTAAACAGTGTCTACTGCAATGCCGCCAGCATATTGAACCCCAGTTCCAATGTAACTATTTTATGAAAATTTCTTTATGAATTTTACAATAAATAATTGTATAGAATGAAATAAATTGAGAAATAAATCACTGAGTGGCAATGCGCGCCGGTGGTGAGCGTTGCCACTCAGTGCACCCACTAAATTGCATTGCTCTACGTATATCTGACTAACATTCCTAACATTCAATCGGTTGGTTAATTTTCGTCTTCAAACCGGAAGTTTACCTTTCGACTGAATTCCAAATAACAATTTCTTAGGTTTTATAACATTTCAAAATAAGATTTAATGAAACTTTATATAGCAAGCCATGAGCATTTCTTCCCAATAATAACAGTCGCATTAAGAAGAAAAACTTTCACAAATTAACACAGTTGAAATATTTAATATGTCTATTTCATGCATGTTAATAAGATTCTTTTCCTTTTAATTCATGTCGCTGCATTTTCAAAAATTATGCATTTCTCATCTTTAATACGTGTTACCAAAAGTGTTGGAAAATTAACTAACCTTTTAAAAATCACGGGTTGGATAATTTTATTCTTTCACTATTAATAAAAGTTTGAAAGTTGGAATAAATTATGCTACATTATGGTTAATGGGATCAAAAAGTTAAAAGTTGGATTGCTAAAATTAAGTTCACTTTAAAAGTTAGGAAATACCATTAGTAATTTCGAAAATAATTAGTTTAAGGTCCTGTCTTCCAGGAAATAAAGGAGTTTTGAAAGTCTTCGCCAAACTTCTAATTTTAAAGATAAATAACAAACATCGTAAATTGCAAAAATACTCTCGCATTTTGTTTTAGATTTTTTTGGTCCCTTAAAACTTTGAATTTCTAAAACTAAGTTTCCATTAGCTGTTCTGTCATGATCGCTTTCAGTTTTTAAATCCATTAGCTCTTGCTGCGTTGTTTTGACAATTTTGTGTCTGATATGGTGTATATTTTAAAGAAAGGGTTTACGTTCTTGAAACTTTATCTACTTACGTTTAAAAATAAATATTTTTAAAGTATTAACAAAATGAATGGAAACATTATTTTTTCAGTCGTCTAATCTTCATATTTGTAGAACACTTAACTGGATTGCTTTCTAGAGATTTTAACTGAATTGAAACGAAAGTTATTTTTAATAACAAAAAAATACATTATAAAATTTCAAACTTTAATGTTAGTCTGCGGAATGAGAATAATCGTCGTTATTATCTTCAAATAATTCTTGAATCCAAAATTAAAAACTGGTAATTCATTGGAAAACTTCAATATTTAGATTGTCATTGATTTATTGGATTATTATTTATTGAATATCTAGTTTGTAATTGGTTCATCGGATGATTATTTATTGGTGCATCCAATACCTGAAATTTGAATAGAATGCTAACGACAGTCTGCAATGCGTAAATGCGATTACTGCTGTAAAAGAAGGAATAATATAAACCGCGAAATTATGTTGAGTGAAATCTTTAATGTAAAAAGAGAATGGGAAGACAAATAAAAATGGATTTATTTGTATATGTAATTAGAGAGAATCGATTTTGTCTTTGTGGTAGTGCCTGAAGTCAGTGTGGGAGTAAACAGTTCGATTCGCGCAAGGGACATGATTAATAAACTCTTCCTTAAAAAAGGATATTGACTTGATAGCAACAGGATAATGCCTTCTAGAATAGGCTTGGATTGTCTTGTGATATTTTTAAGAATTTATTTGTGTACAATAAACAATTGTATAGAACGAAATATATTATGTTGCTGTATCTAATAATTAGTGTATGCTCCCATGAGTATCGGGCATCCCTATGAGTAATCTACATTTAGATGGTGGGAAAAGGGCAGCGTCTGCTGTGATGGAGCATCTGTAGGTAGAAGTCTGAATTAGTTCCGTGTCACTAAAGAAAAGGGAACAGTGCTTTCAGGAAGGACTTTTTAGGGGGTACTCCTTCATTTGCGTATAAACACTGAAATAAAAATACATC